ATCCTGCATCGGCGACAGTTATCATATCATTCATTTCTGCCAAGGAGCGACACTTTCCTCACATAAAACCTTCATGCTCGCATTAACACAAGACAGTATCTACTAAAAGAAAAAAGAAAAGAAGCTTTTTTTTTTTTGGTCATTGCATCTGCTTTAATAAACTCAGCTGGGCTTTATGTCCCTTAACAATTAATTTCCTGTTTTGCTTCATCTTTATCTCCATTATAGTTGCAGAACTCTCATTAGCTCTGCTCCACTGGAACCAGACTGCTTTCCTCTGCTTTGTTCTTTTAACTATTTTTTGTCTTTCTAATCACTCACATGTAGCTTTTTTAGAAAAGATCCCTTAAATGTGGCCACATACTGTTCCCTCCTCTCTCTCTCTCTCTCTCTCTCTCTCTCTCTGTCTGTCTGAGCCACCCCTCGTCTGGTGCAGAGCAGGGTCAAATTGAACTGATATCAAAGGCTTTGTTTGGCTGATAAAAGTCGGGGGCTTTGCCCCGCAGCCGAAAACTAGATTGAATCGATGCAGCCCTGTGATTATGCCAGCAAGATCAACATTTCATATATCACGATCAAGATATTCCATCATATTTCACATCATTTGAGGGAATAGTGCATTTTTATTATCAATAAATCCAAGGTCTTTTTCTTTCCCTTCTTCTGTTTAATATCTTCCCGGTTTTTAGATGCTCCCTCTTTTTTTTTTCCTTGTTCTCTTGTTAAGCTCAGTTTAATGATTTAGCCTGGTTAATATTCACATGAAAATTATTTAAATTTTTATTAATCCAGCTACTGGTTATGATAAAATGATCATTCTTCCTTCAGTCCATGATTAACCGTTTCTTAGTTCCTTTACTGGAGCGTCACTATGAAGAAGTTCCCCTCGTCATTTTGTTCTGCTATCTCTCCACACACTGTTCGGCCACTTATTACTTTCCCTCCGCTCCAAAGCCTGGCGCATGCTGGGCTGTGCTGGAACGAGACAGCAAGGAGTTCTGATTTTTCCCATTTCCCATCTCCTTCTCTTCTTCAGCCCCTCTTCAATCAAGTCCTTTATTATCTTTCCTTTTCATTCCGACTCTGGTGTATCTTTTATACTTTTGCCTCCTCTGTGTCCTGCTGTCTCAGCTATGAGACAAGGTGTCTGGACTCCACAGCTCGGGCCAGCGGCGATGACTCGCTGCTTCATCTCAATTTATCATTTCCGAAAGTGGAGCAAAGAGGAATGTTCAGTTCCACTTGTTACTCCATCATGACTTGGGTTTTTGGAGCTGAAAATCTTTTTTATTTAAGCCTCTTTCATGTGTCGGATTCTCTTAGACTTTTCACATCTTTAAAAAAATATATATATATATGGCACGAGTCTTCGGCACGAGTCCAATGACGCGTGTCACCAAGCACGAGTCATTGGACAAGTGGAGAAGATGGTGAAGGTTGAAACTCAGAACGAGCAGAACGGCCCTGGCGAAAAGGTTTTACTGCAGGAAACTTTTTTTGCTTTTTCGGCCTGTTTTTTTCTTTCTCTCGTTTTTTTTTTTTTTACCTTATTGTACCTTATTCATCAGGGATGAATTAAATTTAATATTTTTACTCGTTAAATATTTCTACCATTTTGTTTCAGTCATTTCCTAGTTTGCCGGATGCATTATTCAAAAAGTACGTAAAAGTACAAGAAATTATACAATGGAAAAACTTGAAAAAAGATGAAACTAGCTCTACTGAGTAACTTGTTAACTTTCAGTTATTTCTGTTAAATGTACAATATAAATCAGTTTATATTGCATATAAATGTCAGAATTTTGCCCAGGTTTCAACAACTAAAAAAAAACCCTTCACCACTTCGGCTGCACCGAAAATCAAACAAACCAAATGAGGTAAGTTTTTGTCTAAAAATATAAAAATTGTATAAGTCAAAGCAAAATGAAACAAAAAATGCAAGAAAATCCAAGGAAATGTGAAGAAGTCCTTCTAAAATTCAAGTAGCAGAATAGAAAACAATATTAGTACATATCATAGATATGTTTTTCTTTAGTTATTTCACCACTGAATGACTAATTTGGTCAAAGAGTCAATATTAACATGTTGAAGTCTAATTAAAAGTGTTGTTTGGCAATAAGCCATGTTCCTATAAGAACCAAAAATAATCTTGCTTGCCTTTTTCTTTAACTGTATTCCAAGACTGTGACATATAAAAAATATATATAATAATAATAATTATTATTATTATTATTATTATTATTTTAAAACATATGGAGTAAAGGTTTCTTTAACCGTATATGTCAACAAATTCAATGCAAAATCATCCAGATCTGGATAATTTTGGATAATCTAAGTGTTTTAGATTTTGAACAAGGTTAAATGAAGTACAGATAAAATATAAAAATGAAGCATTGATGGCAAAGGAAGCTGTAGCAAATGCTAACTGGTTTTGTTTGCAGCTAACATCAGTCACACTGTTCTGATTGATTTTATTTTAAACTGGATAATTGCTAACTGGGGAAAAATGCTTCAGTTCAAATTAAAAGTTTCTCCTCCTGGTATTTTTGTTACATTCCTTTTTGTTTTTTGTTTGTTTTTTTTACATTTAAATGTAGTAATTGCTCCTCTACAACTGTAAATTACAGTAAATTTTCAGAAATGGATGTTTTCTTGTTGTTTTTAAGAGCACATATTTGTGTTATTTTTTTATTTCATTTAGTACAGCAGCTAATAAGATAAATGGACCTCTTATTAGCTCTTCTCAGGTCATATTTATACCTCAAGAAAACACAGACATGGATTAGCTATTTTGAAGTTTCTTATCAGAGCATCAATGTAAAAAGGTACATTAAGTATTATTTTAAAAATGCTTGCACTTTGTTACCAGCTACAGTACAGAAAGTGCTGTAAGTCGATGTGCTGCAGCAGCACGAGGCTGCCTGGAAGGGACACCTTCTACTTTTACTCCCTCTTTCTTCCTTCTCCTTATATTCATTTCCCTGACATCCACCTTCTCCTCCAATCCTCTCAATTCACCTCAAAGCAGGAAACCAACTTGAAGTTTTGCATCAGAGCGAGAAGAGTTCTTCTTTCGTTTTGCAGGAGTAACAACTTGCTGGTCCTTCAACTTCCCCCTACACCCGAACACACACATGCACGCACACACACACACTTTCTCACATTTTCTCTGTTTTCCAAATCGTCTGTTGCAACAGTGTTGGCACTCTGTGGAAAAAACTTCCTCAGTCTGCAGTCAGATCCATCCCAACTATTCTCAAGTTTGTCCCTGTGATTGTTTGGCTTCTATTGTGAAGTGCTAAATTAGTGCAAGAGAAAGTCTTCCTATCTCCACCATGTTCTCTATTTCTAATTCACCAACAATCCAAACACATCTTCCATCCATCTGTGAAGCTCTCTCCTCTTTTCATTCAAACTTGCTGAGTGTGTGGTGTGAAGCAGAACTATACAAGACTTTTATTTACATTTTTTCAGTCTTTTTGTTTGTTTTGCTATAAATACTGCTCCCGTGTCAAATAAAGGAGCCCACACAGATCACCGCCTTTTTAAGCACCCAGCTTGCACACGGTGTTTTATCATAGAGCTGAGACATTTAATCTTTAGGCGCGGCTCTTATAATTGGACACATTGATGCACTTTAATTCATCAGACTCCTTGTTTTCTTGTGTCTTGTGCTTTCTTTTGTTGCCTTTATCGAGCGCTTTTGACTCTCCAGCAATAATACAGAACCGTCCTGTTTGCTTTTTTGGCTGCCCAAGGTCTTTGTTTGGAAAGTTGTTTTTTTTTTTCTTGTTTTTTTTGCATCAACAAAGCTTCTGACCCCTTTATGTTCAAAGTGATTGTTGGCGCCCTGTTCAACATCAGTGCAGAAACAAGCGTCTTAATTGCAAGTTGGCTGAAAATTAGATTTGTTCAGAAGTAGCACAAGAGTGTGATGTTTTTCTTTTACTTTGCAATGCTTTAGATTAGCAGAGTCCATTTGTACATCGCGACTTCATGCATCTTACGAAGATCTTACAGCAGTCACAACTTTAAAAACAAGCTCAAACACATCCAATGTTCACAAAAGGAAGCTTTACATTTTCATTTCAGACCATGATTTAGAGGCATCTTTAAGTGAAAAAAATTTCCTCTTTCTAAGTACAAATTTTTGTTTCTCTAATCATATTTTAGCAACATCACAGCTTCTAATGTAGCAGGTCCAATTAATTTTATGTTTTGGAGCTGAAATACAGTAGTTTCTCGCCAATCAGCTTTCAATAGTGACACTTATCAGCAGATATGAAGTGTAATAGATAATAGGAAGATTTTTCACACTCACATTCCATTGTTCTTTGGTTGCTTTTAAAATTAAATGCAAATCTGTACTGTAAAACTATGGCCCATCTGTCTAAGATGCATGAATTCTTGGACAGACAAATGAATACTTGTATAAAATCAGGGGAATTACTTTGATTAGAGCAACCTATTCTTAGAAATTTAGGAAGTAAGGTCTTTAAATCCAAATATTCTACCAGGCTCATCTAGACCTTTAATAAAATATGACTTCTATATAGAGAGTATCCAACTGGATCCAAGATTGACTGACTGCCGTTTCCCCACGGTAAGAAGTGAAGGACACATTTCTCCAATAAACAGTCAATTTCACTTTGAAATTGCTAAGCATGCTCAAAAAACTTCTGAGCATCATCTTCCCAGCTGGTCCTGTGTAGTAACAATCCATCTGGCATGTTGCAGTGTGCGATTGCTGCTCCTAAAACAAAGGTAGCCATTTGTGTGAAACACAAAAGGCGGCACAAATCTGTTGTAGTGATGTAATAATGAACAGCTTGACCTCATTGTGTTAGATTGAGAAAACCTGGTTTTCTTAGTCATGTTGGATAAATCAAAGTCAAAGCAAAGGTTGGCTGCTAAACTACAGTGAGCAGTGATTGCCTGTTGTCACAGCATTCAACATGTTTCTCTTTAAACTTTCTTTAGCTGAACAAAGTAACTCTCACCTCTCTTCTCTCCGAAGTACAGAGTCTGTTGCGCGGTGTTAGACCACTGCAGTGAGGAGTTGTCAGTCTCTGCCACTCGGCAGGTCAACGTCACCATGCCGCCGACGGACACCGTCTCATCAGAGGTCATGGGCTGCAGCGGGTCTTCATCTAGGTAAAAAAGAAATGTCACAAAAGACAGTTGGAGAGATGCAACAGTGAACTTCTACGTAAACACAATCAAAACCAGTATCACGCAGCGGCCCCAAATCAGATAAACCCTCAAACCGCGTTACTTGCCTCCCTCCTTTTCTTTCTCTCCGTCTCCCACCGCCCATGTCTTTCTCTGGTTGTCAGATTATCTATATATCTCTATCTGTCTTTCCGAGAGCACAGACACAATGTGCGCGCACACTGACATCTTGTCAGAGGGACAAAAAAAGCTGACAAATGGTTATCTGGTTGTATGTCTGTGAGGCCAATGTAGGAGCAATGAGTCGGCGATGCCCAGAACCTGCACGACCTGAGGGACTTTCAAAGATGGAAAGACTGAGGTGGACATTACCTCTCCAGATGTGAAACAAACGACACAGCCAACTCATACCGCTGATGTGTTTTTATCCCTTTTCATTGATATCTGCGTCAAGTTTTCTAAAGACATGCATAAGCATCAGCCCCTGCAAAACGGGCTCAAACGCTATGGAAATTAGCAGGTCGGAGGAAACAAGATTGAGAATACAAATGACCCCCTAATAATGAAGGGATTCTGAGGGCTGGAGCTGAAACGGGAAAACTACTGATGAGTGAACCATTGGGGTGTGTAACAGTATTCAAATAGGCTTAAATTATGGTATTTAACAGTGCTCCCTTGATAACGGTTGATGGTACAGGCTAATTCTACACTGCGTTTAGCGAGGGTGGCAAATGATTTTGTGAATCAGAGCAAAAGATGTTAGTAAAATATGCAGGCTCCCATTTGGAGTGAGTAATGACGAACATAGCCACTGATGCACCTTTTCCCACGTTGAGATATTGAGGCCTTGAGTGCAGCCGTCCGTACTCGCACATGTTACGGCACTTCAAATTGCAACGGTGCTCGGGCAAAACAAAAAAAAATAACAGCATAAGTGAAGAAAAAAGACCCAGTCATAAGAGGGAGCATCTCATAAGAGGATACGCCTTGAGCGGTCTTCTCACCCCTTAAATACAGCGTGTATAAATAGTTTAATTGGAACCAAATTGTCAAGCGGGAGACAGGTTTATATGGAGCGTGGGGTGTTATCACATCCGTGCACGGCTGGTGGAATTGAATTTTTTTCTTTTTCAGAGGAAGAACATCTGCTTAAATGTGCTTGGGCAGAACTCCCATCAAGACATGAAAGAGGATGGGGAGGGGCTCATGAAGTGAGGATGCAGAAGAGGAGGTGAGAAAACCCAAATACATGTAGCATCAAAAACACACATTTGCAGAACATGAGCAGGGAAATGCCTGCAGGAACGTTGGCCATCTTTTAAAGATGGAAGATGAGTTCGGCATCAGAACACATCAATTATTAGAAGGGTAAAAAAAAACTTTAGCATCGCTCTGGCGGTGAGGACTGACAGCGATAGCGGCTCGTGAGGTATCGCTGCTGCTTGCCAGCAGGATTCAGAAGGCTTAGACACAGGAGCCCCACATGTCAGAACGTCGCCACCGTTTTAATGCAGCTGTGACCTTGTGGTAAGTTTATTGAGCAGCGTGATGGCTGAGGCCTGAATTTGCGGTCAAGTGCCCTGTGGATTAGTGTCTCCTTTAATAGCATCCTGGTCTAATTCTTGTGGCTGATCGCATGAGCTTCTCAACTTGGCATGAACACTTTGAGCAAATTGGCTGTCCCAAAGCATCAGTCATCAAGCCAACCACAATGAGCTCCGACAAATTGTCCAAACTTATGTTGCGCCTTTGGTAGCTGCTGACTGTTTCTCAGAATAACCTTTGTGTGACATTTGTCTCAACCAAAACAGCCATTAGGGACACTTTAACAAGAAGACACATTAGAGAGGAATGTTCTCCAAATGGCGCTAATGATTATAAAAGGACATTCAGCTTTAAATCATTAAATCAAATTTGCATATTTTTTGTTGTAGTGGTTTTTTACTTGTGTTCTAATATTACAACAGTGCCTTGTAAAACTATTCCTTGAACTTTTCCATTTTTTTCATATTGCAATCACAACTTCAATGAATTCTAGTGACAATTATACATCATTTGACCTTTTTTCTACAAACAGAAATCAAACGTTGTGGTATGGATTGGTATTCGCTAACATTTGAGGTGACATTTAGGAAAAAAAAGAAACACCTTTGCTGCAATTGCAGGTTCACATCTTTTAGACTGAGATGAAACTGTCTCCCAGTTTCATTCTTCTTTTTATTAAAGACAAAATCTTCAATAAAGACTGGAAGGATCTACGAACATTATAATGGACCCTCACCCAATCCCAGTTTAGTATTCAAGAATTTGCCTAGTCATAGATTTCGTTGAGGATCATAAATGAAATATCTGAAAGAAAATGTGGGTATTAATGCATTTTAAGGTATACTTGGTATTTGAACTATTAAAATATAGTTAGAAACATGTTTAAATGAGGCCTCCAGTGTTGACAGATTCTAGCTATTCACAGGAAGCAGTTTTCAATTATTGCCACTGATCTTCAATTGAATTCAGGTCTAGACTTTGACTGGGCCATTCCAAATCTTTTGCAGCCAACAGATTTCTTCATCCATCAATCTGTCCAACAATCTGACCAGCTGCACCTGCTGAATAAAAGAATATCACCACAGCATGATGGTGCCATCACCATGGCTCATCAAGGGGAGGGTATATTCAGGACATGCAGTATTTGTTTCCATGGAACCCAAAACGCTATATTTGGTATTATTTGACCAGTGCGCATCCTCAACCAAACGGTTCAAGGTATTTTTTTAAACAATGCATTACTTTTTGTCACTCTGCTGTAAAAAGCCCGATTTGTGTGTTTGCATGACGAAGAGTTCTCCTGTCAACATATTCTCCCAATTTGGATGTGAAGTTATCACAGTTTATGCAATTTTTTTCAGTAAATGTTTGTGAAAATACAGAGAAGAAAAAAACATATTTTGTAGGTTCAAACAATTTTAAAGTTCAAAATGCATTTTTAAAGTCTATTTGATCTGAAGGTGGGTTAAAGTTGAAGAAGGAAAAATCTGAAAGCAAAGACTGCATCTCATACTTTAACAGCAGCATATTAAGCAAAGTATTCAACTTTTACCAACTTCAGCTACAGTCATCACCCTAAGATCAGACTTGCAGCCTGTCAGACTGATTTTATTTCAATTAATGTACGCTAATAAATAAGGTTAATCTTCCTCAAAGGACTCATAACCTGAAACAATTTAATGATGATGAAACGGCCCTCTGCATATTAAATCTGAAGGTCTGTTAATGCATACAAATCATTTGGAAGTTAGTCACCATATGAGGATGGTAACTTTGTTAGCTCTAACAGTCAGAATTAATCAAAGATAAATTCTGGCTTAATTAAAGCTGCAGCATGATGTGGGTAGAATGAAACACATTAGGATAATTATCAAACTCTGAACAATATTTTAAATGGACTTGAGCCATTACCTATGAGATGAGATGGGTGGATTTAACAATTGAGTTATGCACTGATTTTTAAGTTAAAAAGTTTAAGAAGTATAAGTGCAAAGTGTTGCACCCAGCCCATATGTACCAAAATAGTTTGCAGAAAGAGTTGCTCGACACTAGAATCTGACCCCGGTAAGCCCTGAATATAAATACAGCTGTTCTGGTATTTGAGGATCCCAAAACAGCAGGAATTAAAGGAGTGGAAGGAAGTTCAGCTACAGTTTAAATGGTAAAGTCTGGCTAAACACTCAAGCTGCAAAAATAAAAAGGCGCAACCTCTCCATCCTTTGCAGACGCCGAGTTCAACACCAGCTCCTTTTATTCTTTCCTCACATCCCACTTCTTCATCTCCAACCAAAGCTGTAAGCCGGAGGAAGACACGGGTATTTAAAGCAACACAATTTACACCCTTCCTATAGCCGGCAACAAGGTGAGAGAACACAGAGGTAGAAGGCTGACTGGGATATCAAACGAGAGGAGGCAGGGAGGGAGCGCCGGCAGAGAGGGAAGGATGGATGGATAAGGGTATGCAGAGGCGGCTGGGGTGGCAAAACGAGGTGGGAAACCGGGACTGTGAAAAAGAAGGGAGGGGAGAGAAGTGAGACAACAGAGGGAAATTGAGGAGCTTGAGGGCTCTCCAGCGTCAAGAGACAGAAAAACATAAAGACCAGCTTTTTACTTTGAAAAAAGGATTATTTGCTTCTGTTTTTTTTTCCTAAGAGTTTAGATAAGAAGATTCAAACAGTGTGAGTATGTTTTACCTAAAATAGCTCAGTCCAGGCTTCTTTAACCCAGGAAAGACAAGAGGAAGAAAATACACTTTTACTCTGTTTGATTTCCTTTAGAAATCTTCACACAGATTACAGCTGAACTGTATATTGAGGCACATCATACTATCAATATTTTTTAAAACAGAGGATTAGGGAAATTAGGCTAGACTACAACCAAATTAGTCAGCAAAATTTTTACAAATATTGCATGATTTTGCAGTCCAGGTTAACCTAAAGCTTTAATTTCCTTTAATGATCTCAATCGTTTGCTAATTCATATGTAAGCCTGGACTCAGGAGCTATAAAATATAAACTCCCTCCTTTTTTCCAGTGTTCCAGATTACACTGCAGCTTTTTTGGCTAAATAAACTGGCATTTGTCCATAATTCCATCCACCTGACCAAATATCTCAATTTCAACAGGAGAAAAGTTTAAATGCATTATGTCACCACTGTTTAAATGTTCAGTGCTGTTTTTTTTGTGTTAGATTTACTTTTTGTAGTTAATGCTTGAAGTTCGAACATGGTCTTATCAGACCAAAGCAGATTCTTTCACAAAGATCTATGTTTTTGCAGCTCTGGCTAGTAGTCTAGATTAATGGTCTTGGTAAACATTAAATCATTTACTCTGAAGGTCTGACTCCTTATGAGACAAAAAGGCATTAGACTTTCTTATGAAATTAGTCATTCCCATATTTACGATGAAGGTCTCAAGCTACAGGATTGCAGTCG